CTAACAGTGTTTGTCTGGAACCCACTACAGTTTGGAGGAGATAATTATTTATCTGCCTTTTCTTTCTGTCAGTGCTGCTGCTGAGGAGCTACATGGAGTTCACATCAGCTGTTCTGCGCCAGCTGTCGTGGCAAGAACATCTTTGAATCCATTTTTCTTCCATGGACCCATTGGTCTCTCAGGTGAGCTAACCAGAGATGACTAACCAGAATTCCCATGGTAAAGGTGGATCCATGCTCAGACTGTAGATGGGAAAGTCTGACAAACTTTATTCAGGAAATATTAAATCAGGTTTTTGTATCAAATGTCTTTTGCCCAAGAAGAAAAGAGAACTAGAGACCAAGCACTGTTACTTTAAATTGGTTTTAATATGCCTTTCAGGACAAAATAAACAGGTGTAGATCCAAAATCATCTGGAAAAAAATCTGCATAAGGTGTAAGCAGAGATTGCATATCACTACGGAAATGCTTCATTTTCTTTCCTTATATAAAGTGCCTTATGCCAGGACTGTAAGACCAGAGAGAGCCAAATTAAAAGTTACAAAAGCTTCCAAATCCTCTCCTGCACGTGGTGGGAAGTGTCTGCCTGACCAGGAAGGCCACAGGGGAAGTGTAAGAACATTTAGCAAAGATATTCATGTGCAGGAGTGAATTAGTAATCGCTGCTTTTAAAAACCTCTAATCTTGACTACAAATCATGGCGTTTTTATATGTTACCCTTATTTTTCCATTCAGATATCTAACAGGATGATGCATCAACCAGCTTTATTCATTACTCTTGCTTTTGGCTGGGGAAGAAAAGTAGTTAAGTTCATCACAGAGATACTTATGAAATAAAATTCCAAACAATACAAAATAATATACATGGGCAAACAGCCAAAATGAAAGGAAATGTACAGTAAAATGTCCCTGTTAAGCACAGTGTCACTCAGGAGATTAAAGAGGTTCTTGACCAAAGCCTGAGCTTACACTGAACTCAATGGCAACGCATGAAATCTAACAGGAGGAGAATTTTCATGTAAAAACTCCATGCTATGAAATGAAATGCATATTTTTCTTTTGCCAACAGAGTAAATCATGAGATAATTAACTGCCTATTATATCACGCCCCTCACAGCATCGTCCCTGGGGTCTGATGAAGCCCTGAGAGCAAAGCCAGGCCCTGTGGGTCCAGTGGAGACAATGGAAACTGGAAAGATGAGGTGACCAAGAGAAAAAAATCCTGTGAAAACTAATCTCTAAACCCTATTACCTTCAATATGCCAAATCCTTAGAGTTGCTCATTTAATCCAGTCATGCAGCACACGGAGTGGCTCATTAGTCATTGTGGACTTGGCCTATAAATCAACCAAAGTTTATACATAGAGGCAACTTCCCAGCACAAATGCACTGATGAAGATGAGGCCAAGAAAAGGAACAGCTCTAGGTCGTTCAGAAGGCAAATGCCACGAGGTTAAGCCATGTGAAAACAAAACCTAATTAACTCTACCTCCAAGCATCTTCCTGCTTAAATCACCTCCTATAAACGAGGCACATTTGTAGTAATTAGCACTCACCAAGCACCTTGCAGAAGGGCTTTGCAAACATTAAGCAAGGTCAGAATTCTCATTGCTCCTTCATTAGAACACCCATAAATACAATGGGGAGAGCTTCTTCATCAGTTCAGAGCAAGGACTGCAGGGCTCAAGGCAGTGACCTCCAAAAAACAGTGGAGAAGAGGTGAGGATGTTGCTAACAGCTGTTTTAAAGGTTGCAAAAACAGCAGCAGGGAGGGGAAACAACTTGTCAAACATGGACCAAGGAGCTGCAGCTGAATTAAGGATTCACAGCTTTGGGCTCTATGTTTTTCTAGAGAAAAAGGGTATTTGCTTGTGGCATAAAGCCTGAGTTGGTGATGAACTGGGCCAGGAAGAGACTGTGCCACAGCTGGAGGGTGTAAGAATTCTGCCTTACAAGCAGCAATAGATCCAGAAACATCTCAATTTAAAGACTTTGCACTGCTACTTTTGTGGCACAAATGGCTTTGAACATCATCTGCTATTTCATTTTGAGTGAGAAAAGACCAAGGGGATGAATATGACACTAGATCTTCCACACAGGTTTTCCTTCTCCCCCAGCTCTGGTGCAGAGTTGTTGTTATATTCTGCCCTTGGAGTTCCCCTCTCAGAAAAGGGATATTTGCACACACTACATAATAGCATTTCTGGGGTTGTGATGCCACTTCCACAGCCCCTGGGAATGATACAAAAGCATTGTTGTAGACATAGAAAAGAAACATTCACTCAGAAAACTCCACAATTAGGGAATAACCTCATCTCTAGTGTTTTTTTTCCCCCTCTACAAGAGGGAGATCTTTTATTTTTGAGAGCCCTTGATGCATAACCATTATAAATCAGCTCAACAAAAGAAATCCAAGTATATTCTTGAAAATTGTGAGACCTCTCCCTGGCTTTCCACATGTCCCAGCCCTGGCTGCCACATGTCATCCCCTTCTATTTTTAGGCATTCCATTTTGCTGAGGAAGGTCAAAACGTGTGAGGGGTGTAAATACTGCAGCAGTTACAGTTGAGTCACGCAGTGATTTATTCTTGGAAACCTAGGAGCTGTGGAAGCAACTGCCTTCCAGAGCTGCAAGGCCCAAGTTCCTCAAGTGAGAACTACAAGAAAGCTTTGCAAACTACACTCAGAGCACTGACAGGAGGAAAGGGCCCAGGTTCAGGGAGAAAACAGTGTGCTGTCTCAGCTCCACTCGCCCCATGTGTTTTGTGCCCTGAGGACTCTCTTCCTTCTGCCTTCACTCACTCCTTTCTTACTGCTTAAAATACAGGCTGACAGTCTGCACTGCCTGTTAGCACACAGGATGGTTCAAAGAACTGTTAGACAGGTCCAATTCCTCCAGCTGAGCCCTCTCCAGATGTTCTCAAGCACTGGGATAGGCTTTGTGACAGAAGAATTGCAGCTGCTCTCCCTTCGTTTCAGTGGGCTACTGAAAATCATGGTGTAAAAGTGATAGATAACTGTGTTTGCTTTGCTTTGTGCAGTGAAAAATGCCTCTCTGGCTTTGCTGTTAGTCTGGATAATTGCACCAGTTTAGGGGCAGGATATCTGTCTTAGCACTGCCAACACAGGGACTCAGACAGTTCAACACATGAAGCTGAAGAACAATTCCAAGCTTCACAATTCTAAAGTTACCCAAGAACTACTGGAAAAAGGCTTGATACTGGTTTCAGCAAGAAGAAAGAACTCTAAAATCGGTATAAAGTACATGGACCAAATCCTGAACAAATATGATTTCCTTATTTTGTTAAGAACTCTTTGACTTTTTTTTTTGATGGTCACCAAGGAGATTTTACACTGAATTTACTGAGAACTTCAATCAAATGTCACAATACAGAATATATGTTGTGTTTATATTCAATTCCTAGAAGAACCTGTTGGGTTTAAATAGCATTTCCATTCGAGGAGGAAGCAGTAAGGATCAGATGAATGCCAAGTTGTGCTTCTCATCACTGGATTTCTTCATTAGCTTAAAACAGCTGGATCATCGACTCTCTGGATTTTCCAACTCCAACCCATTTAACTAGGGAGGAAAACACATCTGTTAGGATAATTACCCAGAGTAAATATCATAATCAATGAACTGGAATAATTGTCACCTTTCATCAAGCTTCACTGCAAACTGACCAACTTTGGGGAAGAGGTTTCATTGTCAAAAATCACTTTACTCCAGCTGGACTAGAAGCGCAATGTACTGAAGTTTGAAAGTGTGAGGGGATTACACCACAAACACAAAGCATTGCAGGTGGAAGGGCCTGGCAGAAGGTCAGGGATGGTTTATTGCAGGTTTCACTGCAATTGTCTTGAGTGACAAGATGTTTAGCTGCATCCCTGCAGGGAGGAAACCAGAGCTCTGCCAAACTGATGTGGAGCAGGAGACAGTGATACCCATGGGCTGCCACTGTTAAATACAGGGCTGCAATTACAACCGTTATGTACTGTGAGCAGCCACCCCAAATTCCACACTGTAACTGGGCCATCACAGTTTTATTGCCCATGGGTACTACAGAACTGGCTGTAGAATCATAGAATTTAAGGGTTGGAATGGCCCTGACAGATCATCCAGCCCCAACCCCTGCCCTGGGCAGGGACACCTCCCACCAGAGCAGGTTGCTCAAGGCTCAGCCAACCAGGCTGTGAACACTGCCAGAGCTGGGGCAGCCACAGCCTCCCTGGGCAACCTGGGACAGTGTCTCACCAGGTAGGTAGGTCTCCTTTAGCCACCAAGGCCACCACTCTGAGAACCAGAGAAATAACCTAAGGGGAACTTGATTTCCACATCCCATCACCCACATCTGTGTCCTTGACCACACACAGGTCATTCACTGAGTTTCAGGTCCTTCCTGATCCCTAGGAACAATACTGGCATCACCACAGTTGTAACTAGCCCATACTCCTCTGATGTGACTTCTGAGGTGCTTCAAGGAAAATAAAAGCACACATGCCAGCTCTCTAAGCTTGCTGCTGTGAAAATTCCCTGGCAAAGTCCACCACTGGTGCCACACCTAGCTCTTGGCACCTCCAGAGCTGTAGCAGCTAGATGTGAGAAACACTGAATGGTTTGACCTTTGGAGGCTGATGATGTTAAGATTCTCATCTTTCCAAAGGGGCAGAACTGGGCTAAACAATCCTGTATCTGTTATGCAATATGTCTCCTTTATGAGTAAGAATGGAAAACCAAACCAAAACAAATCTATGTTCAAAGAGGGATCCTGTAAAAGACAGAGAGAAAAGAAGAGATGGGGGCAGTAGGTCAAGTACACGCTGAAATATGGTGCACAGACCCTAAGTTTTCACTGACAGAAGGTGACAATTTGCCAAGAACAACACATGTTGATCTTTCCTCTGGTTAAATCCATGTCAGCAGCAGCTTGAAGCTCTGCAGACTTGCCTACAGAACACCTCCCTTTGCTGCTTCTTGGCAAGGTGTTACCCCATCAGCCCAACCACTGGGACCTCCACTGCCTCCTGCCCAAATCAAGCCACTCCCAGTTGAACACTTGGACAGAGCTGTGCCTGCCAGCTGTGACATCCTCCTATGGACATCTACAGAAAGGTTTACCTGGCACACCAACGTGGTTTTCCACACAGCGGATGTAGTTCTGGGCCTTGGGTGGGAGGTCCTCCCATTTTCGTGCTCCAGTTGTGTCAGCCTTCCACCCAGGCATTGTTTCATACTCTACTTCCACCTTCTGTAGGATCTCCTGGTTAGCTGTGGGGGAACAGTTTTTATCACAATTGATTTTTAGCTGCTCCACCTTAACAGAACACACCTATGGGCTTTGACCAACAATCTTGTAACATTTAAAATCTAATACATGAAAAAACAGCATTTCTACTGGTTTCTTCATTCATTCACTCATTCATTCTTAATTTAGGTTCATTTCTGATACTTAGGTAGATGATCATAGAATTTTAGGTGTTGGAATAGACCTTAGAGATCACCCAGTCCCAACCCCCTGCCCTGGGCAGAGACATCTCCCACCAGAGCAGGTTGCTCAAGGCTTCATCCAGCCTGGCTTTGAACTGATAAGTGGGTTCAAGAGGATCCAGGAATCCAGTTTCCTCTTCTAAAAACTGTCAACAGAGTCAACAACAACACTACAGGATGATTTGGGAGGAAATTGATGTTTTGAGGTTTACAGTGCTTCCACTTTTTCATTCAGATTTGCATCTAATAAGACAAGAGACAGGAGACAAGAGTAGGCAAGGCAGTACTGTCTCCAATGTTTCTATCTTCATGGAACAGGGATAAAAATCTCAGATGTTTGCAAGCTTTTCCCCACTGGAATTCTCCCTGTGCCCACAGCCAGGAACTACCTTTAACTTCATTCAGGCTATTGCCAGTGACACAGTCTCTGACTTCAGCCTTGCAGACTTTCAGACTCCTGGTGTTGCCAATAAAAAAGTCTAACTGGGCAAGACAGAGGTTTTATTTGCCCTGAGCTTCTTGCCATTGTACACACAGACTCAAGGGAAATGGGAAATGCCAATGTACTGGTACAGCCACTTTTACACCCATTCTGCAGCTCCACAAACTGCTGTAGAAGGTCTAAGTGAAAAAGCAATGAAGCCTGATTTTACAGAGCAAATAGTCTTTCCAAACAGGTGTTAACAGGCAGGAAAGAGAAAAAAGTGAACATAGATCACAGAACCATCAAGGTTGGAGGAGACCTCTAAGATCACCCAGTCCAACCATTAACCTGTTACTGCTGGAACTCCTAAACCCTAAACCAGATCCTCCAGCACCAGATCCAGAAGCCTCTTACACACCTCCAGGGATGGTGACTCTACCACCTCCCTGGGCAATATCCCAGGGCCTCAACACCCCAACAGGGAAAACATTTCTCCTCACATCCAATCTGACTCTGCCCTGGCTCAGCTCAAGGCCATTCCCTCTATCCTCTCCCTGCAGCCCTGGCAGGACACACATCCCCCACCTCTCTCCAGTCCCTGTCAGAGGGTGGTTAACAACTTACCTGGAAAATATGGAATTCTTTTTCCACCCAACTTGTAGGCAACACCAATTTTAATTTCATCAAGGACATCAAGAATATCCAGTTTTGTTAATGCCAAACTGCACAGAAAAACACCAGTTAGAGTTACACACATGATAAATCTCCTCTTTAATACTTCCCACTTGTCTTTTTGTTTCCTTTCTAGTTTTGTCATCCCAAATCCAGCTCAGGCAGCCCAGCCAGCAGAAATACATGTGTGTTACACTATGAACATTGCTGATTGAGTTCATGTCTCTGGGGTGATGTCTGAGTTACTGCAGCAGGATGTTCTGTCTTGGAATGGGGTAAAACAACTTGAGCAATGCCCTATTTGCAAAGCTGCCAGTGGTGGATGGAGAAGGGATTGTCATGCTGCTTTTGGGGCTGGATAATGCTGAAAACAGTTTGACTCATCAATCCCAAAGTTAAACATGCTGAGAGTGAGAGGAAGATATGGTAAACCTGGTAAAGGAACAAACAAATGATGCTACTGATAACTTATCCAAAGCTCCTGAGCTGACACAGCCTGAAGACATCTGACTGACACTCAGTCACTTTAGACTAGCCCAGTCCCAAATTTTAAGGGTCTTATAACATATCCCTCCTTGGAGTTATGTGTGGAGATTCCTCCTTGGAGTGGGGACACCCCTCAAGGTCACTCCATGAGGCTGAGCCAAAGAGATCTGCCCATGGTTGTTGGTTTGGGTGAGTAACATCAATCTCTGCTCAATAATTGCTTTTGTAGCTTCAATATTGCTTCGTAGTGCACTAGATTAGAATAGTTGTTAGAGCTCCTATACTGTATAATAAATAATTCTGATTCAAATCTTTTTCTCTGATCATTCTCAGAATAAATCATATCCATTTGCATAATTATCTCTGGTTTTCCATCCTTAATCCCTGCAGGGCAAAGCTGTACAAAGGTTCAGTTCCACCTGTATAATCCTTTAGACACAAACAGGTTACACAGTTTGGATCCAACCCCCCAGACTCCTCTCTGAGGAGTTCAGAAAGAAGGGGGAACTTTCTGCACCTCGGGAGCTTCTCGAACAGACTTTGTATGGAAACAATAGTCTAGACTTGCTAAAATTCTCAGTAGCTAAGGGTTTAGACAGGTATGTGCATGTGATAGTCCAAGCTACATGTGCTCAGTGAGGGTGTGGTGAATGCAAGGATTAAATGACAAGACCTTTTTGGGGGAAAAAAAGCAGCATAGAGCCAGTTCTTCAGCTTTTTAGAAGCTTTTACCGCCCCATGTTTAACTACCACAGTTACCAGAGATGACAGTTTTGTTGCTAGAAGTGCAGTAATTATATATCACTACATTACAGAGTATAGAACTGAAACAGAAGGAAAACTAATGCCTTACTAAAACTATTTCTACATAAAATGGAGCAAACTTTAACTAGTAAGTTAAAGCAAAATATGAATCCAAGTGAAAAAAAAATAGTTTCAAATCCCTTATGATAAATTAATGGACAAAGATCATTGTTCCTTTGTAACATCAGTAGCATAAACAATACGAAATCTCAGTTTATAAGATGGAAAATGCCCAAGGTCATGTGTTTGTATAGACAAAGTTTGCCTGAATACATAAGTCTAGACTTTATATGAACAAATCTAATGAAACTTTTGCAGCTTAATCTGAAAATACAGATTGGTAATGAGCTATAAATCCATGGCTTGTGATAGTCATTAGCATTTTAACATTAAACATAAGCTAGTTTGATGGCATTATCATAGAATCATAGAACCAACAGGGTTGGAAAATATCTCCAAGATCACAAAGTCCAACCCTACCGTGGTCACTAGGCCATGGCACTAAGTGCCACATCCAGTCTCATCTTGGAAACCTCCAGGGATGGTGAATCCCCCACCTCCCTGGGCAGCACATTCCAATGCCTGAGCACTCTCTCTGTAAAAAAACTCTTCCTAATAGCCAACCTAAACCTCTCCTGGCAGAGCTTGAGTCTGTGCCCTCTTGTCCTGCTGCTGGTTGCCTGGGAGAAGAGACCAACCCCCACCTGACTCCAACCTCCTGTCAGGGAGTGGCAGAGGGTGATAAGGTCTCCCCTGAGCCTCCTCTTCTCCAGGCTGAACACCCCTAGCTGCCTCATAGGACTTATGGTCACGAGCTCCTTTAAACATCCATTTGTCCTTTAAAATGCTAATTTCATCTATATTTTGAATGATAAAATGATTTATCAACCAAGCAAGTCAGTCCCAAAGACAATAAATCTCAGCCCATTCAAAGCAGAAGTTATAATAAAGCATTTGAATGCACCTCTGTAAATAAATTAAGCTGTTGGAACTGGAATGAAAGTTGTGTCAGTCACTGTACACTTGGTGTCACTCCATTTATGAGGTTCCAAAGGATGCAGAGTTTGTCCTACAAGTAGTACCCACTAGAGCCAATCCAAGCTCAAACCCAGGGGGTTTTAGATCAAGGCACAAGGCAGTATGAAAATACTGGATTGAGAACTCTAGAGCAAACTGTTAGAAAACCAATACAATGATCCAATCTACACTGGTCATCTGATCACAGAGTCAGTCAGGTTGGAAGGGACCACAATGGTCATCTGGTCCCACCTCCCTGCTCAGGCAGGGCCAGCCCAGAGCACATGGCTCAGGGTTGTGTCCAGAGGGCTCTGGAACATCTTAGTGAGGGAGAATCCACAACCTCTCTGGGCAATGTGTTCAGTGCTCAGTGACTGCACAGCAAAGAAGTTCTTAAGTAAGCAACACATCCCCAAAAAAGCACTGCTACGATGTAAAAATCACTTCATTTCAAAGAAAGAAAAATAGGCAAAGGAATTAGCTTATCATTATTAGCATTAAGACAATTCTCTTGCCCAATGTGAATGATTGCATTGCTTAAAATGTAACACTTTACTGGACTTATATTAATGTTACCTACATATTTATTCTGCGAAGCACAAAATTATCCCTTCCAAATGTAGCGCAAAATCTGTGATGCTTACGCAGTGAATCCGTTGATCATATGAGCATATTTCAAAATGACAAGATCTAACCAGCCACAGCGTCTCTTTCTGCCTGTGGTCACTCCCCACTCGTGGCCACGGGACTGTAACAGATCTCCAATTTCCTAGAAGGAGACAGGAAAAAATCCTTATGGCATTTCACTGAGAAACAGATGGAAAACAAATACAAAAAAGAGACAATGGCAAGGAAAATAGAGTTGCTTAATTGTAAAAAGGGCATGGAAGTGTTGGAGCAAGTCCAGAGGAGGCCATGAAGTTGCTAAGACGATTGGAGCATATCCCCTGTGAGGACAGGCTGAGGGAGTTGGGTTTGTTCAGCCTCGAGAAGAGGCTCAGGGGTGACCTCCTGGCTCTCTACACCTCCGGCCAGGGCTGGAGAGAGGTGTGGGATGTGTGTCCTGCCAGGGCTGCAGGGAGAGGATAGAGGGAATGGCCTTGAGCTGAGCCAGGGCAGAGTCAGATTGGATGTGAGGAGAAATGTTTTCCCTGTTGTGGTGTTGAGGCCCTGGGATATTGCCCAGGGAGGTGGTGGAGTCACCATCCCTGGAGGTGTGTAAGAGGTGTCTGATGTGGCACTGGAGGATCTGGTTTAGGGTTTAGTGGTTCCAGCAGTGACAGGTTAATGGTTGGATTTGATGATCTTAGAGTTCTCCAGCCTTGATGGTTCTCTGATTCCATATATCAATATAACATCATCACACTTGTGTTTCTCTCCTCTGATCAAAAATACCTCAAGTTCACAATGCAATTCTCTCCTCTTCTCTAGTGCACTTGCTCAGTGTGATTATCACAGTGCTTCTTTTTCACTGGTCCACCCTTACCCCATTCCAATGACTCTTACTTGTGGGCAACTGTACATATTGCATTCTGTAACATAAAACCTACGTTAATCTGCTCCGTGGGGAAGGCTCCAATCCCCACCCTGGTGGTGTATGCCTTCACCACTCCATACACATCACCCACGTGCTGGGGAGGAACTCCAAGCCCAGTGCACACACCACCCACGGTGCAGTTTGAGGAGGTCACGAAGGGATATGTGCCTGCCAGAGAAACAACAGAGTTTCAGCAGTAACAAAGACTGATCTTCCTTTAACAGCTCATGTTTTCACCTCTCTGCTTGGCTTTAAAGTTAACTGAAACAGCAGCCAAAGAGTGGGACAAATTCATCCATCTTTTAACCTTCACTGAGGATTGCCCACGAGGGAGAAATTTAAAGGCATCTCCCTACTGTGTCCATTAGGCACTGAATCTATTCTGAGATGCTACTCCTGTGCAAAGCTTTTTTCAATGTCCTGTGTATCACAGAAAGTATTTCCACTGCATCCGCAGAGAGCCTGGTAAAGGTCACAGTCTGACATTCCCAGAGCTCTACACAAGTGGCTCTGAGTATCTGCCACAATTTGTCTAAGTCTTAAGAGGTTACCCATAACCTCTACAGTGTCACTCTGGATTGGAGAATCTCTCCAGTACTTCATTTTGTCTTCATTGAGACCCAAGTGCTTTAATTAATTAGACTTTTGGTAAGGCAGCAGAGCAGAGACCAACTGGAGAAGACTTACAAATTACCAGTTTAGTCCTCTTTCAACTACTGAGGAATTCCCTCAGCAGCAGGGACATAAGGGCACAGACTCAAGCTCTGCCAGGGGAGGGTTAGGTTGGCTATTAGGAAGAGATTTTTTACAGAGAAAGTGCTCAGGCATTGGAATGTGCTGCCCAGGGAGGTGGTGGATTCACCATCTCTGGAGGTTTTCAAGCTGAGACTGGATGTGGCACTTAGTGCCATGGTCTAGTGACCACGGTAGGGTTGGACTTGATGATCTTGGAGGTCTTTTCCAACCTGGTTGATTCTATGATTCAATGATTCACTGCAATGAGTGCCTGGATCATATGGAAATGTGCACACACATTTCCAAGTAATAAAGACAGGAATATCTGGAGTGAAGTTTCAATTCCACTGCAAGCGACTTCAATACTTAAACCCTAAGTGCTTAATCCTGTTAATGATACAATCTCTGCCTTACTGTGTTTACTTCTGGGAGATCTGTCCCTATCAAGCAAAGACTGTTTTTTTTTCTCTATTTCCCTGCTGTTTGCAAAGCTGCTATGAACACAAAATAAAACTGATCTCTTGGGAGTTAAACTGAGTTTAGAACATAACTTACCAAAGTCAATATCAAGTAATGCTGCATTGGCTCCTTCAACCAATATCTTCTTTGGGGAGCCATGAAGAGCTTCATACATGAAGTACACACCATCTCGAACCATGGGTCTGATTTTTTCAGCATAGCCCTGCAAATTGAGCACAAATATCAGCTTCCCCAGGCAATGCCTGGAAGCAGGGAACACTGTGCTCCCTTTGGAAAGACAAAACACACAGATAAGGATAACACTCCAGCCTCAATAACTCTGTTTCCCTGAAAAACACAACTGTCAGCATCTATTCTATTGGAAACAAATCAATCTATTGGAGCACTGACATAAGAAATCATGACCTAATATGGCATTAGAATGCCCTAATTTCTGTTCCATTTCTATGCAGAGATGTGGCATAACTACCAAATGTTGTTGCTATGGTCTCTACATGGTGTGTCTATAGTATAGACAAACTGAGTGGGACTTGGAAATGTGCAAGCACCAAAAGAAATTAGAGATGACTCCTCTGGAGTATTAGAGAACATATTGTTGGTCACAAAGGGACTTTAAATGACACCAACTATTAATCTTTTATTCTGTACTTTCCATGACACTGAAGAAACATGACAAGTGTTAAACCTCTTACCTTTAGCTTTTTCAATTGTCCTTCTGTATCTATTTCCAGTGTGGGAAACATTGACTTGTATTGCTGTGCTAGGTTTTTAAATCTGTAAAATAGTCAAGTTGGGTCTGTGAGAAACTTTTTCACTGCTCACAGAACCTTGGGCAAAATACTAGTTTATATTACACACAGTATAGACTAAGAGCTATATGGAGGAAACACCCAGGACTTGGTTACCTCAACCAGTGCATTTCCCAGTGTATAAAACTGGATTTTAAATGAGGAGAAACTCTGAAGTGCAGGAAATAAATAAATACACACACACACACATATTCCTTCCCATTTTCTTCTCCTTCTAGACAATTTACAGACAAAATTCAGACACATCTTGGAAAACAACCTCGTAAAATCCAATCTATCAGCCAAAATGTATCACTCCACCCTAATATTTAGACAGGAAAATAGTTGTACCTTGAAGAAAACTCATCAAAGTCAGAGAGGAGGTCACAAACCCGAAGGCCTGTCCGAGCAGCTTTGGAAGAATATGTTGGTCCAATCCCTTTCTTTGTTGTGCCAATACTAAATGAAAACAAACATCCCCCCCAAACTTGAATAAATATAGGCAAAAAATACAGTTTATGCCAATTAATTTTGTTTCAAGGTCTTCAGTTGACCATATATTGAGCAGGGAGTCTGAGATATGAGAAGATGATAAAGTTAAATGGATGATAAATATAGAGATACAGATAAATATATGTATAAATAATAAAGATGCAAACATAAATATATAGATATACATAAATAATACCTAAATAATGAACATACAGGAACTTCGAGGCTTTGCATAAGGACTGAGCTGTTTGTGGCATGCAGAAAAGCACAAGGCCTCGAGCCACTGAGTCTGTTCACTGACACAAGCAGGAGCAAAGCAGGCACAGCATCAGTCACAAGGCTCTTTAGAGACACATTCCCTTTCTGTTTTCCAACCTCACAGCAGGTTTTTTTTTCCAATTTGCATAGCTGTTAGTGAAATGAGGGTGTTGAAAATATTTACTTTTTGCCTTCTTGTGCTTGCCTCTGCACTTCCTGGAGCCCATCTACTGCCTGGTGAAAGTCAAACACTGCGGAGGGAAAGCAAATGGACAGAGTGGGACACACAGGAGAGAAAAACAGCCTTTAAAACACACATATCCATGATTTCAAAGCACTGTTGCTGCCACTGACTGTACACAGAGCTCCTCAAGTGAAAACAGAGCAAGTATTCCTTAAACACTGGAAAAACGGAGAACATAATCTCCCCTCATGTCCACACTCATAGAATCATAGAATTTAAGGGTTGGAATGGACCTTAGAGATCATCCAGCCCCAACCCCCAGCCCCAGCCACCCAACCTGGGACAGTGTCTCACCACCCTCACAGGGAAAACTTCTGCCTAACATCTAACCTAAATTTCCCCACCTTCAATTTGTGCCCATTGCCCCTTGTCCTGTCCCTGCAGCTCCTAACACAGATCCCTCTGCAGCTTCCCTGGAGCCCCTTCAGCTCCTGGAAGGTGCTCTGAGGTCTCCACACAACCTTCTCTTCTCCAGGCTCAACAGCCCCAACTCCCTCAGCCTGTCCTCATAGGGGAGATGCTCCAGTGCTCTTAGCAACTTCGTGGCCTCCTCTGCACTTGCTCCAACAGTTCCATGTCCTTCTTACACTGAGGACACCAGAACTGTGTGCAGTATTCCAGGTGGGTCTCACCAGAGCAGAGCAGAGGGGGAGAATCACCTCTATTGACCTGCTGCCCACACTGCTGTGGCTCAGCCCAGGCCTGGGTTGGTCTCTGGGCTGAGCTCACACAGCAGCTCATGCTGAGCTTCTCATCTACTGTCACTCCCAAGTCTTTCTCCTCACTGCTGGTTTCAATGACTTCCCTACCCAATCTGTAGCTGTGCCTGGGATTGCCCCTTATCCCGTCACTGCAGCTCCTAAGGAATTCCATTGGTATGTTTGGGACACGCATCACACACAGCAGTTCCATTAGATCAAATACATCACAGGTCTCTGCACTAACTTAGTTTAGCATCATGACCTAAGCAACAGTTTGAGGTCTTTTCCCCCCTTCAGTCATCACTTACCTATATGAGCTCTATCTGATATAATCAGCCTTTTCTCCCAGTCTTTCAAACCTGTCAGAAGACATAAACAAAGGTAGGATTTCAGCTGTGCTCACTGCTCAGGCTTTGACATTGATTTTTAGTTTTTTCTGTCTTTCTTCTAGTCTGGCTTCTTGTTAAGGAACTGGAGATGAAATGGAGAAACCATAATTGAATATCAAATATCAGCAATGTTTCTGTTAAATGTTTCTCACATTTTACTTATCAGCTCTCTCATCCTGGTATGGACAGACTCACTTCTCAATGCCACAATACTGTGAATTACATGCAGTTCTTACTTCAAGGAAAGATACTTGGTTAATTCACCATACAACGCATCCCTCAAACTCCACTTGTGCCACAAACTAGAGAGTTTCAATAGAGAAACAAAACAATTTGAAAAGTAAGGGACCTTAGAAGGTCAGAGAGTCCAAAGCCTTGCTCAAATATATTTGGGCACAGAAACCCTGGGATAAATCACCTCTCTTTGAGGTCAAGGGGAGCTTACCACACATCTTGGGATTTATTTCATAGAATCATGGAATTTTAGGAGTTGGAAAGGACCTTAGAGATCACCCAGCCCCAACCCCCTGCCCTGGGCAGGGACACCTCCCACCAGAGCAGGTTGCTCAAGGCTCAGCCAACCTGGCTGTGAACACTGCCAGGGTTGGGGCAGCCACAGCCTCCCTGGGCAACCTGGGACAGTGTCTCACCACCACAACAGGGAAAACTTCTGCCTAAAATCTAACCTAAATTTCCCCTCCTTCAATTTGTCCCCATTGCCCCTTGTCCTGTCCCTGCAGCTCCTAACACAGATCCCTCTGCAGCTTCCCTGGAGCCTCTTCAGCTCCTGGAAGGTGCTCTGAGGTCTCCACACAACCTTCTCCAATGTGGTAACTTCATCTAATGTGGTATCAAATGCCATAGAACTCCCCGAATCCCACAAAAAGATACCTTTGAAAATACATCTAACGACTCCAACACAACCCAAGATTTTAAATCCTATTTTCCTCATTGTTTAAAATCCAGAATGTTATTGCACTGAATATTTATGGTCAGCATGAACAGCTTACAAAACCCTCAACCTGCATGGCCAAAATAAGGGTAGGTTAAAAATTACTTGATACAAACCTTTCTTTTCATTCTTTTCAGCTTCTTCAAACAGGCCTGGTAAATGTATAACTACTCCGTTACCTTTAGGAACATAAATGAGTTATTTTTAAAGCAAGGACGACAACATTCTTAGCAAGTAAAATACATCAACACTCACTGTCTAAAATTTTAGCTAGAAAATAAAACTCCATTTCTCACAGAGTGACCTTGAGGACTTTTAGGATCAATCCTGAGGTTGGATGAGCAGTTAATAAGCTGCTAAAGTCAAACCCCAGAGCTGGTTGTTTCAGGCTGCTCCACAGTCAGCTGAGCTAAGCGGATTCTTGTCTTTGTTTGTGATGGACTTTGCCCCACGACTTCAGCCTCAATTGTTCACAGGCAACAGCTCAAAGAAGTCTGTGGCCTTAACAAACTGACAAGGCTGTGTGGAACATTTCAGCTTTCTCCATTTGGTTTAAACTGAGCTCAGACTGGAGCTGTAAGGTGTTAGCAATGCCTTCCCCTTGCTTTGGAGCTGCAATACAGAACCCAGGAGCAACGCAGAGCAGAGATGAGGAGGATTCGTGCTGCAGTGGGCTGGAAACAGCTGCTGTCTCCTTCTTGGGAGCACCAGAGATAGATGCATGAGGCTGTCTCAGCCTAAATTTAGCATAATTTAAGTTCTAGCCATTACTAATTGAAAGGGAGGAAATGGGAAAGCAAGACAACACACCATGTTCAGCCGAGGGGAAAAAATCTGCTTCATATATTTCAGTCATCTCTTTGGAAAATAGCAAATGGAACAAAAACTCCAGGACTCACTCAAACGTACACTCATTTCTGTCAGAAAGCATCATAACTTGGACAGGAGGTTTATATTTGCCTACCATTCAAACACGAGTTTCATGTCCAGTAAGCAATGCAAATTTTTGTTTATGATGCCACCTGCATTCAATATCTTCGGAGCAAAACACAACCTCACCCTAAACAGCTGGTGATGTGGCCAAAAAGGAGTCTGTGACAACCTGCCAAGCAGAGTCCTGTATCTTGGGGCCTGTTTCTGGAAGGTCAGGAGAGAGATACCCTGGGGTTTGTGCCCCTAGAGAATAGCACACACATCTCTGAAAGCCCAAAAGGAGTGTGCAAGGAGAGGGTGAGATAAAAACTTGTACCATAAAGCATAAGCAAGAGCAACATGACATGAGGGTGTCCTTGCTTTCAATTTTCTAGCAGCAAAAACTAAACTGACACAGAGTAGCTTTGTATTAAAGCAGCAGTGAAATAGGAACCAAAGAGCTGAAGCCAAAGCAAATCTGAGTGACAGTCACGTATATATGTTTTTCTTCCCCGGTTACTATAAAATCAGTTGCAGCTATCCACTAGACAGTGTTAGCTTACAGAATAAGTGCCAAAATTGTCTTACCAATAAAAGAAATTGCCTTTGGATTAATGATGCCACTAGGAAATAGGTGAAAATCATATTCCTTCCCATCAACGACCACAGTATGACCTGCGTTATTCCCACCCTGAAACGGAGAGAAACAGCACACAAAGGATTAGTGCATCATTCAGAACTCAGCAGATGATTTGACAGGATCACCTGTTTTATTCATACACTCATGTCTTTGGGCACTGTTTTGTTCACCTTGCAGTTTCTTAGCATGCTCAGCATTCTGAAAGGGGCTCGGGCAGGATATTTGTGATGCAGTGTTCACAGCCAGGTTGGCTGAGCCTTGAGCAACCTGCTCTGGTGGGAGGTGTCCCTGCCCAGGGCAGGGGTTGGGGCTGGATCATCTCTAAGCTCCATTCCAACCCCTGAACTCTATGATTTGGGGGCTGAAGGATTTCAGCA